CTGCTCTCTTTACTGGCGTTAACAACTACCTTTCAGCAGAATTATCACAATTATAATCAGCTCGTGGTAACGTAGCCTGCGAACAGCAGACGCATTTCCGGTCGTCGCTTCTCTCCCTCCGAAAAATAGCTATTTTTCGGAGGGACGGCGACGACCGTGATTTCCTAGTAGGCCTTCCCTAACGCCAAACGAAATGGTCGGCCTTTATTGCCGTGATTAGCCACTGAACGACCCGCCGCTATTTTTGTCTGGTTTGTCCCTTGTACTACGATCTTCCTAGCGAAGGCAGTTTACATGGTGCTAGGATCTTCCTAGTACTAGGATCTTCCTACCTGTCAGCTAGGAATATCCTAGTACTAGGAAGATCCCAGCTCTACGAACAAGTACAACCCTTTGCATGTAAACCGAATACATAAAACATATGGCGCTAGGATGATCCGCCTTCTAGGATCTTCCTGGTATAGTACTAGGATGAACTTTGAAATTTAAACTGATTCGCAAAAGAAAAACGACATGTAAAACTGACCTTTTGGGATGGAACTATTAACTTAATCTTCACCCAATTTTTTTTCCAAGCAATAAGATGAGAAAGAAATAAGTAAGCTTTGCGCAGTTTCAAGACGAGTTGAACTCAATTTGCACGTGGCTGCACACTGCGACGTAAAACTAGTTTCCTTGTACATAAGCGACGTTTGATGGAAGACGTTGAAAGCCTCAGGAAATTATTTAAATTTTACGTTCAGTTTCTGAACTTGAGTGCGCGGTACCGAAAAATTCAAAAGCAAGACATTCGCCTAAACATAAAGCTTTAATTTTAACATTGCGAGCAAGTTTGAATGGGGGTGATGTTTTTGCTGTTGCAATGCTCCGTAACAAGAAATTTTTAGCAGAAAATAGGAAGAAGAGCTCAGTTCAAAATCTCTAGCAAAACCGATATTAAGGAAAACTACACTTACCTGTCAGTGGATGGACCGCCTGACTTAACCGGCTGGGAAGTCGGTCACCGTGGTCGAACCAACCAAGTCGTTGTCGGTCGTTGGCTGCAAACCCCAGCAATTGATGAATCAGTTCTCAGAGTATTATTGGATGTAGGTTGTTATTGTTGTTGAATTCTATTGTGCCATTGTAACAAAATAGGCAGGAATAATAATTACGCATTGTGGATTACAATGGTATTTTTGGGAACCGGCCATTCCGCGCACGTGCAGTTCGTGCAAGGAACCAAGGATAATGTGAACGTCAGGTCTACATAAAGCTTTCCGCGCAATTTGGCGTTCAAATATTGTGAATAAAACATCCACATCAGTTGGAAATAGCATATCAAGACTCAATTTTAAGACCCAAAAAAATCCTCGACCTTATTCGCCTTTATTTAAAAAAAGGTGTGGTAAGATTTCCCAACACCTCATACAATTTTCGATTCTATTCATATTAGCTAGTGATGAAATTGTTGCATGCATAATAAATTCATGGGGTCTTGACCACTGATAGATAAAAAAAATTTGGTGTGTCCTCAGGTGCTTTTGAATTCATTAAACGTAAGAACATTCGCAGCAGCGATCAAAATCTTGTTGTGTTGTGAAACTTTTTGGACGGATTTATTTGCCAAGTTGAGCACAGCAGCTCCTACACAACTGGGTAAAAAAAACAAAACACGTGAATTGTACTGTTTGGTCAATTTCACTTCGCGTGATTGGTTGAGCCGATTTAAGTTTTTTAAGTGACTGTTGTTTATTGGAGGGAGGGACCGGAGGGGAGCGGAGGAAGGAAGATCCTCACCAAGCTCGTCCCCAGAGTCTTCTCGTTTTCCAGTATGGCAGCCGCCGTCATATTGGAAAACGAAAAGACCCCGGGGGCGAGGTTGCATCCTAGCACCCGCAGGAACAAAAAAGATCCGAATTTCATATTTGGCTTGGCAAGTCAACTGTGATGGATGAAACAACGTCTAATTTTGTGCAAATTTCCTAGTCTTATTAAATTAAATCAAAGTCTGGGATAGGGCGAAAAAAGCAGGCGATGTCAAAAACAGAAGGAATTTTCTTGTAGATAGCTCTTACAACTGTAATATGGATTTTTCATTTTCCCCTGTCGGGTAATTACTGAAAAATATGTTGGAAAAATTGTATATCTGCTCCATTATTGCTCTTAGTACATCAAGCTGTGTTACTTTTTACTTTTCAGCGTTGTTATCGTTTTTGTAGTTATTTCTTGCTTGTGAGAACTCCTAATAAACGTAAGCCAACAAAAGCAATTGTGGAATCATAATTTCAACACAGTCTGCTGACTTAGCCTGCACACCAACCACTGATTTCGCCTAGCTTTCGAAAACAGCTATATCGGTGCTGTTTTCGCAGGCTTCTGATCCGTGAAGGGATAACCCAGATGTTCAGTAACTGAACTTGTTACCTTGAAGGTACATTTTTATTTGAAATAAGATTTGTTATGTTTAGAACGCAGTTATTTGATCGGTAGGATGATGAAATAAGAACAAAAACGATGCAAACAACCACAACAACAACAACAACACTAACATGAAAAGCGGCGGGGGGGAGAAGGGGACACAAGTAATGGTGCACTTACTTTAATTATCACTTCGTTTCCATGGTGGAGTAATTATCCAAAACCTGATTTATGAATGAAGGCAAAACAATAGTAGAAAACTGATGACGGACTTGAGTCTAAAGGGTGATGGGCTCCTGCTGTAAACTGTTTAGCCTGTACACAGAGGTTGTTTTATTTTTCTTTTCGTTCTATTAATAATGATAACCTTTATTTTAAGAGGGTGACACCAATTACCATGAAGTATTCTCCCTAGTGGCCCTCTAAAAACAAAATTGATAATAATAAATGACAACAATCAAAATTTTCTTGCAGCTCTCCCTTACCCCACCCTATACAAAACTGAAACTCGGAAAAAATTCCTCATATGCGCGTCTAACATTGTTTGTGGAGTGAAGGGAGGGGTTGGGCCTGTGTGACTTGGAAAACGCCCAGAAATACTGAAGTGTCCCAAGACTTTTGTCCATGATCGTAGTAAGCATGCGAGGTAGTCCTTCGCAAGCCGAGGTGTGTACGTAATTTGGGGATAATTCGACCCATTTCTTTTTTCTTTGATTTGAATTTAAGACCATCTCTTAGCATAAAAACACAGATATACTATCATATCATACAGATATCAATTGAATGCACATCTCAAAAATCATGAGAAATGCCACGGCAAATGTTCTCTATCTGTCCCTACGTTGAGAATAGATTGAAGTGCAACCTCGTCCCCAGGGTCTTCCTGTTCTCAACGGGCGGCGACATATTGGAAAACAAGAAGACCCTGGGGACGAGGTTGGATTGAAGAATACCAAACTGGATCTAATTTAACTTGAAGCCTTAGAAATATTAAATTCTGCAAGCAGAATACTGCAATGCTGATCGTACTACGTGAAACTTAACTCTGCAAGACATCAACACGACACCGAAAGACCTCAAAACAGAGCGGGATTGTAGCCATAGACAGCTGTTTCGCCCTTTTTGGGGCTCGTCAGTAAGGTGCAACAGCCAGAGAAAACTCTGATGAAAAATATCCGCGCAATCTCATTTTAAGCCCTGACTCAGAACTCTGAACACCCACAGAATCACGCCATACCACGTGTCTTCTGGAGGGCAAGAGTCTGAGTGTCGTGTGGATTTCTCGCGGAGAAAATAAAGAATTGGCCAAAACCAACCTCAAAAACATGGACAGAAAGATGCAAGCCTTAGTTAATAAAAAACTCTAACCATGTCAATAAAAATTAATCATGATACATAATCATGTAACCTATTTTCTCTTTTGTATTAAACCTTTAATAGAATTTTAAAAAGTCTTTTGAAGACAGCACTTTAGCGGAATTAAAATCACTGTAGTTCCTTATTAAGTTGTCTAAACTCTTTTCGAGGTGAAATACTGAACCTGAGCAACGTTCAGATTCGCCTCCTTTTGGAACTATATTCCTATTTTCGGACAAGCACTCTAGTCCCAGTTGTATATGGGAGATTCTCTAGGAGACGTCGCCGTACAAAGAAGTTAGGAGCAAAAACTAAAATAGTTCGTTCGATTCATTGAGCAGTCTGTTCAATTTTCAGTTCTTTGCAATCGGCAATAACAAAGGAAATATAGGCAATAAAAAAACTGCGAAATTGCCAAAAACGCTAATGAACTCATACAAATCAAATGTACTACAGCAGGGAACCAGCCCCCCAGTCGTTGTCGTTGTTGTTTTTCTCTTTCTTTTCTGGCCGAAACAAATCCCACTCTCTTTACCACTTTTCGCAGGGGTGGTTTGACTCATGCAAGCCGGCACTTCATATCATATTAATTGCATCGTGGGATTTCTGATGTCGAAATGCCTGCCGGGTTTGGGCTCGGTCCTGTAAATTCATGGGTACGTGTAGCCTGCGTGGCAGGCGTTAAAAGGGGAAGGGGAAGGGGAAGGGGGAATTTGGGCGCGCGAGAGCGCGTGGGGCGTGGTCTCGCGCCCTAATTCCCTTCCCCTTCCCTTTCGAACGCCTGCCACGCAGGCTAAGGTATGTGCGGCTCGAACCTAACCTCTCTACAAAAAAGGTCGCTGTGTTTCGTCCCGGCGGACAAAAAAATCCCTACATTGATTCTTTTTAAAACCTCTCTACAACGGCCTCTTTCTTCTGTCCCCTGGCGGATATTTTACTTTTTCAAAAAAAATTAAAAATATATATATTTTGTCAAACAAAGGTTGCCGTTCAAGGTGAAAAAATGAAAAATAGTTTTGAATAGTTAAAAGAACACGTATTTGAAGTTATTTTTTTTTGGTAAATAAATAAATAATTAATTTAAAAAATATTTAAACTAAGTAAACAAAACTATTGCCATATAGAGAACAATAGTGCAAAAAAAAGAAAAAAACCCTCCCCTCTGTTACCTTTCAGATTTCCCCCAAGTATGGTGGGCTCAGGGTGGGCCGATCACAGTGTTTTAGTGAATGTCACATGATGTTGTCATTTTCAAGGATTTTGCGTGGTTTTCGCTGCGCTAATGTTTTGGTTCATAATCATTCAGTGCTCGAATTAGACAGGAGAATGCCTTCCAAACAAAGTGATAATGTCGGTTTATGGAAACCCTCCAAAGCAAGATACGAATTTCGAAGAAATCCCGAGTGGCAGGGGAAAACAAGTTCCGGATTTTGCATGGGTTACCTTCAGGCGAATTTAGCGATTCTTCCAAGTTCTTTGGCGAAGGATTTTCAACGTTTTTGCGAGCTTAACAATGCTCCATGTCCGTTATTGTACAGAAGCAAAACTGGTGAACTATCAGCTGGATTTCTTGCTCCTGACTCTGATGTAAGGTACAATGAAAGCTCCCAGCCCTAATGAATCGCCTTGCCCATATAGGACAAGTAATTCATGGTAGACTACCATGAATTACTTGCCACTTAATAATAGGTTCGGGAATGGGTTGGTTACCGTGGTGGGGAAAGGGTTCTGCTTCAGTCAAAAAGGGCAAAGGAAAGTATATCCATTTATAGCCAGTTTAAAATAAACCAAACGTTTCCGTTTATACAACGCTGATTTACATGTCACATTTTTATTCGTAAGGCTAACCTATATGAGGTGAATCCTGAGTTCTGATAGGCTACACAAGTTGGCCAGGTGGGCCAGCTCAGGATTAACCACTTTATCCCATGGGAAAAGATTTTGTTTTGGGTATATTATGAATATCTTTATTGACAAAGCTTGTTCAGCCAAGATGGCTTGGATATTGGCCTCTGACTCTTATTTTGCATAAGTTAACCTCGACTTTGTCTTATAATGCACAAAAATGGATAAAAAGAACTTGGCCAATATCGCATGTCCAGCCATCTTAACGAATGCATACTTGGTCAGTAATGCATTTACTGTTAACTCTGAAACACTGCATTTCCTCCCCAACAGGCACAAATTCACACTGCCTTGAAGAAAATGACGAGATTCCTTACTATTTACAAATCTTATGTACCTGTAGCTTGTTCTGCAATAAACCGTTTCCTGGTATTTTTAACTTTTGATGTGGACAAGATACAGAAAATCTGTCTACACCTCTGGAAAGAGCACCTTGATAGTAGGAAAATTGCCAAATTTGAAACTGGTACGTCTTAAACAAGCAAAGATTAAGCTCCCCAATTTGCGAAAATTTACAGATGTTTGTATGCTGGGGCCGGGGCAAGTTTGTGCGCCCAAACATACATATTTTTGTAAAATTTAGGGATTTTGAGGAACTATATCTTCATCAGTGTTCACCAAATCACTTTCAAACTGACTCAGTTTCTTGTCATCTGTTGCTAAGGATAACAAGGATGGACATGGCCCAGGGGGAGGGGGGACTTCATGTGTGAAAATAACATGTTATCTTCACATGTGAAAATATCACCATTGCTATGGCTTCATAATAAACCGCACCTTTCAGACCAAAAACTATTGAAGTAAAATGGTTTGGCATTTCATTGGTGTTTATATAATAAATAGGACATTACATGGTTGCTTGGAGATATGAAATTTCTCTTCGCATGTTGAGAAAAATATTTCACTCGTTCACTGCGCTCACTCATGAAATATTTTTCAACACTTGAAGAGAAATTTCATATCTCCGGGCGGCCATGTAATATCTTCTATTGGTCAATGCTTCCTGATGAAGTTTGTTTGATATCTGCTAGGCATAATATCGTGTATGGGTGATAGCACTAAATAACCACCTTATCTCAGAATTGCAATATCCTTTTGTCATAACTGTTAAGGGGTCAAAATTATATTCAGTTTGAATTTTTTAACCTACAATCTTGGACAAAGTATTGAGAATTTTGCACTTTCTTACATACAGAACTCCTATCTCGCGGATAATTTTGGTACTGCTATGGCCCCCATCCTTGGCCCCACCCTGGTCAAAGTTGTTTAGTCAGAGGTTATCCAGCTGAACTTCAACATTGTGTTTTTTTGGGGGGGGGAATGGAGGGCAGTATTTGTAGTTGCCAGTGCTTTCATTTTTCTCAACCTTTTTTTGTCCAAGATTGTAGACTGATTCTCATTCACGAGTTTAACGAATTAGGGCTAGGAGACAAAGGAAATTGAAATTTAACCTAGGTTAGAAAATTGCAACCTGAATATATTTTTTACTTTAACATAGCCCCCTTAATTTAATTCCATCTGTGCCACATATTTGCTGCAATATGGGGGAAGAGTGACCCATCCCAGGACACAAGCATACTTGTAACCAAGGGAGACATAAACCGTACAAACCTTTTTCTTTTGCTTCAACTCATTATCTCTTTACTTTAACAAGGGGCTAGTATTTGAGATGTCACTCTTTTGAATCCTTTTACAGTGGCAAAGTAACTTTTGAACTCCATGGTGATTGAACAATTTTTGCCTTTTTTTCTTTGTTGGAGCCGGTATTGTGTCAGTGAGTATCAACTTGAAACTCACTGACAATACTACAATGAATATAAATATTTCTTCAGTGTTTGGAGACTTAACATTTGATCAGCGAATTTTGCAAAATAACATTCATGTGTTTTTTTTCTAAATTACACTTTCAGGACTGACCTTCAGTTATACTGTATCTCTAAAGATGGAAACATCGACACCATGAAATCCAGCAGCCTTAGCGACTACTCATTAGATGATTACGTGTCATTTTATCTTGGGTGTAGCTTTTCCTTTGAGGAAGCAATGATAAAAGCAGGAATTCCTCTTCAAAACGTCGCTGAGAAAAGGAATGTTTCAATGTTTATCACTAACATTCAATGTAAGCCCGCAGGGCCATTTTCTTGTCCAATGGTTGTTTCAATGCGTCCCATTCCAAGAGGGCTTGTAGAAAAAGCAGTCATTGTTACAGCAGCTTATGATGCAGTTCACGGAGCACCAATTCATGTTGGAGATCCATCTGTTATAGGAATAGATGACATTAACAACACAGACTTTGGTGAACCTTCAGACATTGGTGATCTTATACCCATGTTTTGGGCTTGTGGTGTAACATCATCACTAGCAGTAAGATCAGCAAGTAAGAAACGTTTTGTTAAGCTTCGCCTGTACACTGCTGTCTTGTTTTATTTTTATTTTCCTTCTTTTTGAAAACATCGGCGAGCAGAGAGCAAGAACGAAAAATAAAGTCTATAATTTTCTTATTTCCCACAACTACCCCCTTGTGCTGGCAGTCCATAAATCCCCTGCTCACTATGTTTTTTATAACACATGCTAGATGGACTTTGAAGAGGAAACAGAGGGTCTGTGGACAGGCTTTGTTAAGCTAACAAATAAACAAATATAGATACCATTTTATGCTAGTGCATCTGTTCAGTTATAGATTACAAAAGACATCAAAAGGTGATATGAACAAGTGTCAGGTACATTGAGTGTCGTCTTCTTTAAGATACCACTAATTAAAATAGAAAATCTCTTTTAAAGCAATTTTAAATGAAGTTAATTTTTTCCGGTTTGCAGAACCTTCACTGTGCTTCAGCCATAGTCCTGGTTCAATGTTTATTGCAGACATTTCTGTTGAGGAATATTTCAAACTCCATAAACCACAACATGGTGATGAACAACCGAGGCTTATCACTCTGACAGATCAACCCTACCTTGCTTCTGTCTGTTCTGACAGTGTGCTGATGAAAGTAGAAGATCTGGCTAAAATATCTGCTGACCCAAGCAACACTGGAAGTACAAAAGACGTTGGGGTGACTAGTGAATTCTTGAAGAGTGCAGTGAGATTATCCCATGCCCCATCTGTTGTTATTGGCTTTCTTGGAGGAAGTGAAACCTCTGTAGATTATATCCAGGGAGTGATGGCTCTTGTCAAAGCTCTTCAAGCCTTGAACAAGCAAATAACTGTTGTTATGCCACAAAATTCACAACAATTTCAGGATAACATTGAAGCATATGCATCCCAAGGACAAATCTCCAAAGACAATTTCCGTGTGGTTAAATGTGATAGGAATTGTGATGTTAGCGAGGCAGTCTTTCAGGGTGAAATAAATCACAGGCGTGACACAGTGATTGCATTTCAGCTTACCAGAACCTCTGAAAAGGCTGACTTTAAAGATCCAGTGGATAGTTTTTTCCAAGAAGGTGGTTAATTTTTTTGTTTGAATGTACATACGTTTACCCTTTCCTTAAATTAAAGTACTTTGTTCAACTAAGTAAGAAGCATGAAGAAGGAAAAATTCTGGATTTTTGTCAATACATTAATTTTTGTTCCTGATATCTGTGAAAATGCAGCTGATTTTTAGAAAAACCATTTACTAGGTTTAAAAGATGGTGTACAATTAATGACACTTTACTTCTAATGTATCCATTATATCCCATGGACTCTTTCTTTCTGTCACTGCTCTCATTCAGGACAATTTTCTTTTTCACTATATGGTACATGCTTTCCACAGCAATGTAATGTTGATCCTAGCAGTATGCTTATCCTGGATGCACCACACATGCACCAAGGATATGCCCTGAATTTACTCAAACTTTATTAATTTTTGTGCTTTTCTCAAGCAGTAAGGAGCCAGGAAAATGGAATTGTGTCCATAAAGATCACTGAAGTTGAAACTATCCCATCAGTAGATCAAGCCATGGACAGCCACACATTGGTCACCAGCTCATTGAAGGTAGCTGGGTGTGGTCTTGCTGCTGCTCTCTATGTTCTTAACAAGTGTCCAATTCACTCACGATATGTGCAGCGTGGTATTGGGAAGAAACAAGTATATCAAGTTGAACAGTTTAAGCTGCGTGGCGTTGAGGTACAAATGCTTAAATTGAGAGCTTTTCAGCAATGGTGTAGGTGTGACCTTTGATGTTGGCAGTTGACAAAACCAGGATTGGACCAGATCGAACAACTTGTAACCCTATCCCCAACCTTTTACCATTAGTGAGTTACAGGGATTAATTCAATTCAGTCCAATCCAGGTCTTGTTACCCTTTTTTATGTTCTTATGATACCAACTGAAAGCTAAATAAGCAGTGCTCTTCTGTTAACCCTTTAAGTCCCAATAGTGACTAACGTCAATTTTCTCCTAACGATATCCATACAATGTCAAGCGATTAGGTTATGAGAATTAATAAAATGATCACCTAAGGAAAAATGCCCTGATCTTTTATCAAATTCTCTCAACTCATTCATGAAGGAAATGTATGGAGATCAGTTTGGAGAATTTGTATGTGGATATTGGGGCTCAAAGGGTCAAACTCTAACCATTTATGTGACAGATATTTGATTACAGATGTTTGTGTAGTATGTGGTTGGTGGGGCAAGTTTGTGATCCTCTGTCTGTCCTGCTTCATGCAGGTTAATGTGAAAATATTACTCTGACATGAACTTCCTCTCCCCTGCCGCACCATAAAAACATCTGTAAAATTTGGCAACCTTTCCAGTGCTGCACCTTTGTTAGTTTTCAACAGATCACTTTTAAACTTGCAGGACAATGTAACTTATTTAAGGCATTCTTTAAAGTAGTGTTAACAGATTTTTGCGAGCTATTCCAAGTGAGAAGATGAAAAAAGAAAATCATGGAAGTGGTTGTTGAACCACAATAACATATGCACCATTTCATTGGCTCCAAATCCTGATGGAAAGATCAACTCTGTAACGTGTTATGCTGGTGCATCAGTGTTACCTTTAAGTGATTGTCAAAGACACTTTTATTTTAGACTGCAAAACAGTCGGTTTTTTTCTCAAAATCAGTAAAGAAATCGGTAAAGCGTGGCGTAAGAATCTTACGCGCGCGAAGCGCGCGAGCCTCACACGCCCGTCGGGCGTGTGAGGCGAGTCTCGCTCTCTGTTTTCAGCCTCATTCCAGACCTTTTGTTTGACTGCTCGCGCGTACTTGAATACGCAAAAATACGGACTGTTTTGCAGTCTACTTTTATTTTGTCTAATGACTCCTACTATCTTTTGTCTTATAGGAAGAAGTTTGCAGCCGTATGTTCCAGATTGTAACAGGAAGTTGATGTACCATAATCTGTTTATTTGTCTCCATTTTTTCTTTTGCAACCACAACCCACTCTGATATAAAAGTGACTAGTTCACCTAAAACTAATCAAATAATTATAATTGAGATATTATTCTAGGTTTTTTTGGAACAGAGGGGAAGTCTACGTACAACACATGGAAAGTTTCTCTCTGCGAACACTTTTACTAGCCGTCATATTTAAAAGTACGTTATCTCTCCGGGAGAGGGTACTCAAGAGACGTTCAGTTAGAAGTGTGCCTCCATGTCTTCTAACCCCTTCCCTCTTTAAATAAAGACGCCCTGTTGAGGACGCTAAATAGTGAAATTGTATACCCTGTTTAAAACTCCCGGCAGACGGTGAAAACCATACCCCCTCACAGCGAGACATACCCCACTATCACTCCCAAGTAGCTCACCGTGCGCGTTAGGAGCGAAGACGACTGGGGACGAGTCAGCGTTTAGGCCCAAGGGAGTGCCCCCGGACGGTATCCCGCCCTCCACCTGAGAGAAATTCATGATTAAGCAACAGCTGTAACGTTACTCATTTTATTTATTAGCAGAATTAAAAATACGATCAACTATCGAAAAAATTTGTCTCTTTTATAAATTATAACTTGACAGCTATCGTATTAAATATCAATATAAATACAACGTTCTGGATATTCTCAAACAAGTAAATTCTACTTTTTGTCATATATTTGCATCGTAATTCGATAGAAAATTTATTGTAAAGTGATATTAAAAAGTTTCAGCACCTTGATCATCAAAAATAGAACGGCTTATAGCACCAATTGACTAGAAAAATCTATTTTCACACTGGATAGACGCAAGGAGCTTTCAACTCTTCTCATAATCAAGTTTGACCTAGTAATATATTTAAGTGCCTAATCGGTTGACGATTAAGGATATGATAACTAGAGATAAATTACCTAGCACAACTTTTTATCACTACTACCATAACAACTGAATGGAATCAAGTATGGAGAAGTAGTGTTTTGATATTGTGATTAAAGAGTTTATCAGGACTATTTACACCTAGTTTTTGATAAACATAGAATTTTACCCAAGCTCAAAACACGTCCTTTTCACTACGCCAAACAAATTTTCCGCGGGTTGATTTACCTACAGTAAACCAAACGTTGCCGACAGAAGTACTAATATATCTTACACTCTTAATGACGCAGTACTTCTTTATTCTAAACCCTGACTCAGATTTATTCCTATTATTTACAAATCCTTTCTTAACCCTTTAAGGCCCAATATCCACATACAAATTCTCCAAACTGATCTCTGTTATTTCCTTAAAGAATGTGTTGAGAATTTGATAAAAGATCAAAGCATTTTCTCTTAGATGATCATTTTATAAACTCTCATAACCTGATCTGTTGACAATCTATGGATATTGTTAGGAGAAAATTGATGTTGGTCACCATTGGGACTTAAAGAGTTAAGGAAATGCTGTGCCATCAGTAAAGGACTCTAGTGCTGATCTCTCAGACGTGATTTGCACCGGTTAGAGTCGAATGGCATTACCTCAGTGCTTCGCTGAGATATCACATGAAAGGCGAAAAGATATGCAGCAGCCGAGAAAACAACTAAGCCAACTCTGTGCAATCAACGCCTCACGAAAGCTAGTGGATGTTTAGGCACACGAACGGCAGGAGAGTATCAATTATTTCACACGAATGTGATGCTAGCACTCATCTGCAGAATTGTTGAAACCATCACTGAAACCTCGATCTCAATTAAATAAAACCTAAACAGCTTTCGAGGCTCGGTAATTATCGGGAACCCTGATAAACGGGGCCCTCGATGGAGCTTTGTACCGTTTTGACTAGAATAGCACTACCTCCGTGCTCGATGGAGCAAAACATCCACTAGCTGCCAGTCACACGATTTCTAGGAAGATTAAACTCACTGACACTGGAGAAGAGAGTGTATGCGAGAACGAATAAAGCAAAAAGGCAACAGAATAAGGACTATTTGGAACGATAATGTTCGTATCAGGATTGGACAAATAAACAGAATCCAGGGCTCTAACCAATCATTTGGCTCCACAGTAAGTGGCTCTTTTTACGTCAGCAACAAACTCAATTACTTGGCCTTGCGTTGATCTGAGCATAGTTTACTCTATAAAAATTAAATAAGAAACAACTTTCATAGCGACCTGGTAACACCAATCACGTCCTCGTAAATCTGGTTCATTGGACGAGATACAAATAATAATAATAATAATAATAATAATAACACGATGCAAATTACCACGAGAGGACTGTTACCATAAACATGCAATCCAGAAGTTGTTAAACACATCCGTACTCATACCAAATGGATGATTTCTTTCCCTCTGCTTCCTTAGTTCCTGCAGATCTTGAACGCGACCTCTCCTCCGCGATTGACCTTCGTCCCGGCGCAGTGGAGCCAGTTTCTGATGAAACAGGCGATGACACGGGCAAATCTACGAATATTTCCCTTTCCTTTTCCTTGGTCGCTTTCTTCGCCTTATTGCGCACCTTTCGCAGCGCTGGGGAGCAATCACGGGTCTGTTGAGACGATACAGACCTCGTATCGTCGTCATCGTCATTGTCATCGACAAACGCCTGAGATGCAAGTGGCGGGGATTGATGCTCCATTTCGAGCATACGCGCGCGCACGTTTGATATGTTCTCCTTCGACGCTTCATGAACACCCCCCGCGTTTACTTGCAGTTTAGTTTCGTTTCTGTTCTCGTCTTTTAATTCGTTCGCAGCCGGTTTTAATTCTACTGGGTTTGAAACGGAACCGCTCCGTGGCAAAGAGGAACTATCGCGTGACGTTGTACTAGTGTCTACATTTGCTCCATCGCGAGACGTTGGCGGTGAGGAGTAAAACGTGTTGGCGGTATCACTAAACACAATGGCATTGGCACGAGAAGAAGGTTGATCACGAGACAGTGTTGGAAAATCACGTGATCGCAGCGTGTTACTTGCGGCTGGTATTACGCGCTCATCTCCGTACTTGTCTCGAACAACAGCGTAAACAGACGAAGAGCTGGCTTCCGCTCGGGTCAGCGGTGCAGACTTCGAATTGACACCTGTTGCTACACCGGAAGTGGCCGGTGGGATGGGCTCAGCCTTAGCAATAGTTCCGGTAGTGACATAATGGGCTGTAACAGGGACGCTTTGGGGCGGTGTTGATGACGCAACAAAAAGGGTACCAAGGCGCTTGGATGATCGAAGTCCATCATTCTTGTCAGCAATAAGACTCCTTGAATGGACAGGACCCAACTGAACAGTGTCCCGGTTTGGACCACCTTTGGCCTGCTCTGTCGGAGTGACCCTAAGGCCACTATTTCTGTCGCCGCTAAGGCTCCTTTCTCGTGAATTGGCCATACCAGTTTGCCTAGTGTCACGGCTGGGACCATCCATAGCATGAACTATCGGAGTTACTCTGAGGCCACTATTTTTATCACCGCTAAGGGTCCTTTCCCGTGAATGGGCCGTATCGATTTGACTAGTGTCACGATTGGTTCCATCCCTAGTCTCCATTATAGGAGTTACCCTAAGTCCACTATTTTTATCTCCGCTAAGGCTCCTTTCTCGTGAATGAGCCGTGCCGGGTTGATCCGCGTCACGGCTTGGGCCTTCTCTTGCTTGTGCACTCTGAATCGATCGAGGCACATCGTTTCTGTTTCCGCTAGAGCTCCTGTTTCGTATATGCTGAATATTAGTCCGAGGCGACTCTGCAGCCTGAATATTTTTCTCTCCACTAAAGCTCCTTTGCCGTTGAAATCCTCTCGGGGTGGATGTAATAGGCTGCTCGTGTCTACCATCACTGTGTTGTCTCAATTCGTGATACGGAGGAGTGGAATTGGACACATCACCGTTAAACCGGTGCTCTTGAGGACTACTTCGAACGCCCTGCAAGACAAGTTTTTCCTGATCTTCCTGGAACGGTAATGACGCTGTATAAGTCGTGTTTGAGGGTGAAATAATAACTGCTACTCTGGGTTTAGCTGGTTCTGTGGAACGTTCCCGCACTGGTATAGTGTCCAGACTCTGATTATCGCGATTGGGCATACTAGAACGCCGTGGACCTCCCGCAGGCGATGAAAACGTATCGATATTCTCCTTCCTGCTCAAAATAGGAGAGTGTTTGGGGCTTCGCGTTGGAGTTCTCTCTCCCAGCTTCCTGGCAAGAATAGGAGATGAACGTGGACTTTCCGTTTTCCGAGAGGATGTAGGAGAAGGAGGGGAGGGTGGAAAAGGCTCCAACCCTATTGGGTACTCCTTTCTTGCCACATTAGGTGAAATATTAGGACTGCTCTTCGCCCAACGGGGCTTTCTCAAACCCTTGGGGGAAGCAGCCGGACTAGCGTGTTTCAACATTCCCTGCTTTTTAGTCCTTGGCAAAGTGCCGCTTAAGTCATCTTCACTCAAGTGTCCATCCCTCGACCCCGTGTCACCGGGAGTAAGGGTCGAAGAACTGCTCGGCAGTTTATCCAGCGCATCCATGCTCCGTGGCCTTCCAAGCCTTCCAGGTGACCAATCACTGTCGGTGAAAATCTCGGAGCGTACTTGGCGCGCTCGGAACGCCGACATATCGTGAGTGGCGGAACGAAGACGCACGGATTCCACCTCTGCTTGTCGCGGTAGGACCGGTGTGCTGACGTAAGGTGACGAGTAACCTTCTCTCGGCCGCCTAAGGACGACGTCGGACTGGGCACTAATCAGGCTAGAATTCAACAAACTTTTCGTGGCTGCTCTAGAGTCCCCGGATGTGGAACTTTCCCTTGAGCCTTCACTGCCTGTCTCATCACGCCTGCTAATGGGCGTGGCTACGATTGGTGACCCCTCTTGGTTGAAGGAATCAAACTCCTCAAGATATAAACTCTGGTCGATTTTAGTAAGCTGTACACTGTTGCGTTTGTTCTTGGAGCTCTCATCTTTCTTCTGCTGAATACAAAAATAAGAGAAAAAAAACTTGTTACCTTATGAGATTCTATTCGACAAAGGTGTTTTGGTTTCTGGGTACCGTTGATAGGGAACATCAGTTCATTAATCCTACCTTTTTCAATCCAGCCTTTCTCATAACCCTTGTCAAGAAGTTTGGTTTCCTATAAGGATTCAAGAGAAGCTGTTGTCAGCACTTCACGAGAAAGGAAACAACGTTTGTCATGAACCAATCAACAGACTTAAGAGTCACGTTAACATGTACGTGAAACGTTTAAGATTTGTACCATGTGACCAAATTTTCCCTTTACAGTGGAACCCCGTTCACCGCTCGCCATTTTATTACACCGAAGACTTTAGGGTATAATGAGGCCAGCAGATGCCAGGACCTTACCTATTAGCCTATCATTCAAGACACAAACCTTAACTTGGTAACCACACAGTAGCGAATAAGCTGCTATTATTTGAATGGATATGATTAACATTTGGAATGTCATGCCTGAGAAGTATCAAGCAACAAAAAATAG